TGCAGCAGGTGCAAAGAATGCATCAATTGTCCGCTTCTGTGACATTCTTTTCAAGGCCAAATGCCGCGTGGCTATCATAAAAAACATGTACAGAAAATATGCCAAACAAAGTGTCCAACTCGTTGTGAAAGATCAGAGCGCGTTCACATGTTTCAAGAGTCGTGACATCACAGCTTCAGCCTTGCCATCGTGAGCTCGCGCCACGGCTCTCGACCCACTTTATTGTCCGATCTTGTGTACTGTGGCGGTGCAGGTACCACGAAGATGTACTCCGCACGCAAAATTTCAACATCTCAGCCTTGCAACCCTGGTCGAGTGAGTAATACTGCAAGAAACGAACGCTGATCTTGCGGACCAGATATTCGACATGGATGTGAGTTATAAGATGATGCTGTCTCCAAGTATCAAATAAACAAGCCTCTAACCATGAGATTTATGTGAAAATAAAGGATTCAGATAAACAGATTATGCTGAATCTCTTCCGAGCCCCTGCTGCTGCCAGAGCAGCCAAAGCACTGGATAGATCGCTTTTCTCAAACACGCTCCCGACAGCTGCGGCTTCAATAAGAGATAACAGGCTCATCTCAAAGTACCGCAAGCAACTTGAAAAGACAAGAGAGATCTTTTCGTTGGACAGATTTGATGTCTGTGCGGCGGATCCAGATGCCAGTCTCGCAGCACAAGGAAAGAAGTGTCTTGTGTTGAAGCCGCACATCAAGCCAGATGGTATGTTCATAAGCCAGACTGAAATGGAATTTATTGTTTATAGGTGTGATGAGAATGAGAGATTAATGGCTAACTGATATATAAGTACCTGAAACATGGAGTCCGGTGTTGCAGGAAGCTTCGAAGCTGGGAGAGTTGAAGATTGTGCCTTATGAGATACATGTTGGATATGATCTTTGGAGTTATCGTACGAGACACTTGAACCTTCAACTTAACACTGAAATGAATGGCATATCTGACTCATAAAACAGTTGATGTCATGAGATCTATCCTTCCAGAGGACTTACACGGCGAAATCCCTGTTGGTTTCAACACGGCAGGCCACGTCGGTGAGTTAAATCCCTTCATCTTGCTATCAAAAGTTTTCAAAGAAAGATGAAACAAAAGCTTACCACTACAAAAAGCTCACCTCAACATTCGGGGGCAATACCTTCCCTACAAGAACATCATTGCTCAAGTTATCATGGATAAGAATCCCACAATCCATACCGTCATCAACAAAGTGGACAACGTCGGCACAGAAAGCGAGTATCGAACTTTTAGCTACGAGGTCTTGGCTGGGCCCGACGATATGCTCGTCGAAGTCAGCGAGGCTGGCTGCGTTTTCAAATTCGATTACTCCAAAGTCTACTGGAACACGAAGCTTGGCACTGAGCATCAGCGTCTCGTCAGCCTGTTCAAACCGGGAGAAGTCGTTATTGATCTGATGGCTGGAATTGGACCTTTTGCTGCACCTGCTGGTAAAAAGGGGGTATTCGTCTGGGCGAATGACAAGAATCCTGAGAGCTACAAGTATCTTACCGAGATTATCAAGAGGAACAAGGTGGGCAGCGTTCTTCCTCCATCATCACTCTGACGTTTTTTACAGGAACTGACGCGCAAATGGCAGGTCTCGGAATTCGTCAAACCTTTCAACCATGACGGACACGACTTCATCAAGCAAGGAACCGACCTGGTCCTGGAAGCATCCCGGCGAGGAGACTGCGCCCTCGTCCCTCAAAAAGTATCGCGAAGCGCTCCAGGCCCGCGGCCGGAACCCATCCGGATCCCCGTGCCGCCCACGGTATCACACTTTGTCATGAACCTTCCTGCCTCCGCTATAGAGTTTCTTCACAACTTTCGCGGCCTGTACGAGGGCCGCGAGGAGCTCTTCGCCCCTCACACCGAGACGAAGCTCCCGATGGTCCACGTCCACTGCTTCGCCGTCAAGGCGGACGACGCAACCCCGCTGGACGACATCTGCCAGCGCATCGACAAGGAGATTGGAGTACTCCTCACGCCAGGCGATGATGCGGACAAGGACGGCCAGGTCCTGATCCATGAGGTCAGGGATGTGGCCCCTGCGAAGCGAATGTTTTGTGCAAGTTTCCGTCTCCCGCCCTCAGTCGCCTTTGCTCCGCGATCCTAGGCCCGACCGATCGAGATCCCACCCCTATGGCCGATCCAATTTCGTCCGGCCTTTTTTCTTCCTTCTTTTCTTGCTTGGAACGTAAACCAGCCCTACAGTACGGGAGGGCGCGACGCCTCATTTTCGCTTTTTGCCCTTAGGTAAAAGAAAACGTACTCGCTACAATGCTCTTGTCGATACCCACACGGAGTAACTGATCGGCAGCGGAAGATTCACAGGAAGACAATAGGGTGCGGATATGAACCTTATCTTTTCTCAAAAGCCGGGCTTGCGGGCGGCCAGCCATGACGACAAAAGCATGAAGCCGGCATGCCGTTCTAAGCCTACTCCCAAACGCCATATCCTTTTCTCTTGCATCAGTGCCTTTTGCTTTTTTAACCAAAGAAAGATAAGCGGGCGGTTGCCAAAAAAAATTCTCATATTCCCAAATTGATAACGCAAAATTTCCTGCTTTTTTTGTTCTTTCACCCTGCATGGCCAACCCGGTCGAACGGTTGGTTGACGAACCGGATGAAAGCACCGTACCAGAAGCTAGCTCAAGCACGTTTCTCAGCTGTCATGGATAATGGATCAAGCGGAAAGCATAAATCTCGCTCATAGCATATGAAAAATCCCTCTCTATTTATTTATCTTTCATATGAGCTCTTTTCTGAAATTTTTGAGTCCACGCTAGGAGCGTGAGAGGGATGACAACAAGACAGATTTGGCAGCGCTTCCCAGCTTTGGTCTACCTTGCACCGACAAGTTGCTTTGTAGCCAGCACCTTTGCTTGCCAGTTGTTTTCTTCTCCCGATGGTCCTCTTTTAGGATCCCACTTATCAGGGCTATGCATGGTGCCCTGTTATCTGCCTTTTAGAGGCCTTTCTTGCGGCAATTGCAGGATATTGTACGCGTAGCTGTTCGGATGAGGTGAAGAAAAAAGTGTCGATATTCTCAGCACTACAGGAGGGAGCTCACATAACAAGTAACAATCTTTCCACATCCAAGCCAAAAAGAAAGGATAAAAATAGAACACAAAAATAAAATTCAATTCAATAAAATAAAATAAAATGTCAAATCCCACAAAACGCCAAAAACCAAAACATGCATATTTTCACAAAGGAAAAAGCTTACCCCAGCCCCAAAGGAGCTGTCACCTTTCGTCATCTTGGCTCTCCCCTCACTTAAGCTCACGACATCACCCGCGGATCACGGATATCCCCCAGCTAAGCTACCTAGCTATGTAACGTCCAGATATCTAAATTTTCAATCACGTAAGGCCCTCATTTATTTTCGTATCAAAGCCACCACAAAATTTCCAACCCTTCTCTCTTTCTGCAAGCCACTCACCCGCACAGTTATCTCTTGCCCGCAAGCCCAAGCCGGGTCCCCCCAGAAACTTAGCTCCGACAGCCGGGGCTAAGTTCAAAAGCATGGAAACGGAAACGCCAGCTTTTGAGTCTGGGGTGTTATTATTCCAGCTTCCTCTAGCAGTAGTAGATTTTCATGTTTTCTCCAGATAGATAGCGATTGCTGCTAAACATCCCAAGCTCTTCCAACATGACCTAGCCATCTAGCCATCATACAGTAGCAGCAGGCAGACGAATTACGGCCGCCGATAGATAGCTCGACACCCCTCCATCAAAAAGCGCCAGGTCCGTCATTTTTCGCCACCGCTGTTTAGCTTCTGCAACCAGCAAAGCCCCAGGGGGCCACGTTCATCCAAGAGTCACGACCACTCGCAAGAAAAGCCAGAAAAGAAAAAAGGGTTCAATTGGCAAAAAAGCCACTGCCTTTTTGCGTCGTTCAAAGGGGCGCCGGCCTTGGCTTTTTCAGGCACGACGCCACATGAAATCGATTCGTGGGTTGTCTGCATTTGACTGGAGTTTATGATATAAAAAACCGGGGATGGCATACTAAGTTGCCATTATTCGTAAAATTCCCCGAGACTGTTCCTCCTTTTTCTCAAAACATAACTCGCTTACAAGGTTCCTGATTTGCTGTATCTTTCTTCTTTCCTGTGTGAACACATGCAAGAGGTGCATATATTGGGCTTTGGCCACCAGAGAAAAAGGAGCGCAGGTCTCTTGACCATGAAGCCAAGGCGTCGAAAAACTTTGGCTCCGGCTCTCTCAATCAGGATTGGTGCTTGACACCCCGGAGGCTCCCCGGCTCGTACATGTACACATAGCTGCATATTGGACTGCTACCGTAAAAGGTGCCAGGGAGAAAACAAGACGCATGCAGTCTTAGATAAGAGCTTCTTGAGGAGCTTGGCTGTAACGAAGCAGGTTTTGCTGCTTTTCCCCTTGTAAACCGCAAAGGCGAGGGGCACGGAGCACGCCGCAAGAGATAACAAAGGTACCCCAGGTGAATAATTCTTTTGCAGTAATCATTCTCTCCTCCGATGGCGGTTATCTACGGAGCAAATGTCCTTCTGCACAACATAACATGCAGCGGGCAGGGTGCGAGATAAGGTGCCGTGCCTAGCTCGCAACAAGAGCGAGATAGGGAACAAACACCCCGGATTTGCAAATAGTACAAGTACCGTGATTAATTTATCTTCTCGCTGACCGGCTGCACAATGCAAGGGCTAATGTGTCTTGTGTAGCATATCTTCAAGTGGCATTTCCTCTGCAGCCGCTGTCTCGTGGGCAGATGCAACGCATGGTGGTGTAATAAGAGTATCACATTTAGGTAGGTGATAGTATGCCATCCATAGCATTGCCTGTTATCGACAAGGCCAACGCAGGCCCAAGGGGGATGGACAAACTCTATTCGCCGAGTCAGCCATGAGAAGAGCATCACGCCGCCCTTTGTCGACAAGCTTTCCTTTCCTCGTACGGAACGGACATGTGGCCAAGCCGGGCGGCACCCGCTCAAGCATCGTTGCAGTGTGAGATGAGAAAAGGTAAATCCAGAGTGACATGTCCAAATGGTGCTATTGGGCCTAATGCAGCTGATATCACTTTTCAAGCCAGTCCATCTCTGTCCCTGTACAACAGGGGTCCGGAGACATAGAACCGAGATGTGAAAAGTGATGCGGACGAACCTGGTTCTGGTAGTAAATGCTCTTTACTTGGTCAACATTATGACTGAGCCAAAGTAAAAATAGACCAATCACCCTTGAAGATAAAGGAAGAGAGGAAGAGGACGAGAAAGAGACGGAGACGGAGGGAGAGGGAGAGAATGAGTCAGGGATGTGCGATATACGAGCGGGTATGCATTACAGCTGGCAGTGTTCCGTATATCCGCGTCTCTCTTGAATGAGGCGACCGAGCGGATATCCAGGCTCAGATTAGCTTTGCATGACAGATGGCTGTACCTTGGAAGTGTGCGAGCCATTTTGAGGAGATGGTGTTGAGGGAGCCGTGATGCCTCGTACTGGCTTGTGCTATACCCAATTGTGTCAGCAAACTTTGCTTTGCAGGCGAAGCTTTCAAGTTCTTCTTATGCATGCCCCTCTAGCTCCACGAGCTTCATAGGTGCTGACAGTGGGGCAAGCGACCAGACCATGGCCCTGTCGTGAGGCAGCAAGCATCCAGCTGTGCGGGGAGGGTGTCGGCCTCGTAGTGTAGCTGCACGGCGTTCCAACGTTTCGTCCGTTTAATGTTCCGGTAGAGGGCGTGGTACATTCTTTCTTGCATCTCGGGCACTCATACGCCCCCCCTTCCACGGACTCCGTACTGCGGTAGAGTGCCATCCGGCGGGGCTTGGATGGGATCGCTTATTATCCAATTGCCATTTCTTTCCAATATCTGGCGGTTATCGATTCCTATATTCCGAAGGTAGCACGTATTGGTAGTAGTGGTATTGGTGATAATCCCGAGTGGAGGGCAACAACATGAAGCTTGTGGATTGTCCTCCAGGGATTGAGGTCTGATTGTCGGTAGCAATTGGATATCGGCAAGACCAGAAGTCATGATTGCAGTAATAGCTTGAATACCGAGCCAGAGGGCGAGACAAATTCAGCCCTCGGAACTTTTCCCAGTGAGGTGCAGAGTTGTATCGAAGCATCAAGTGCCTCGCCGGGCGGGGTCTCCTTGGGCACAGCGGCTATCCTGACTGCTGCTGACTTGCTGACGTTCAATTCCTCTTGCAATGATTGGATTCTGCACCGCTTCGTCCTTGCAACCGCGCTATGCCTGCAGCTCCGTGATCCGGCATCCATCTCGGCCGCAGAGAAAATGAATCTATATTAAAAAAGGACGCAGCAGCCAACATTGATGCATCCTGCTTGGCTGCAGACAGTCTTGCAATCGTCGTTTCCGGGAGCTGCACTGGGGAGCAGCCGGGGGCGTCGTGAATTGTGGGGGAAGCAGGCTTCGGCGCCGCATTAACAGGGGCTGTGCGCTAGCTATCCCACCACGATGCAGCTTGATAGGCCATTGAGGACTGCGATGGTGACTTGGCCGTCCAAAGGTTTGTCCCAAGCAGGGAAGCTCTGAGTAGCTTGGCCTGACCGTACGAGTACAGCACGATTCCGTCTCGAAGGCAGGCGGGACATGATTGGCTAGTCAAAGTTCGTAGCAGAGCCCTGGAGTGCCAATCAGATGGGAGGAGATATCCGGATGCCAGTAGCTTCCTGGTAGCTACATATCGCTTGCATCACCATTAGGTGTCTCTCGCGGGAGAGGGGAAACTCTGTGTCAGAGCAGAGTCGAGGCAAACAAAGCATCTCCGGGCTAACACCTGAGAGGCTTAACGGTCGACAAGGGAGCAGAAGCTTTTCAGAGCTTGTGCTGTCCAAGCTGTTGACGGAGCAAAACTTTGTCAATGTCACGGGTGTCGTGTCATTTCAGGTACAAGTGCATGTTGAAGGTTAAGGTCCCCGCCCCTGTAAAGCATAATATTAGTATGAAGCGGTACCCAAGTCGTAGTATTACGTTTCGAAATCCTCATCAATTGCGTCGAACGGGTCATGTTACGAGAAGAGGCTGTGGTGTAGAAGCGACCATGTTGTTCTGATCCAAGTGGCCACCTGGATATTAAGGCAAATGGTGTGTTTTGGGAGCAGCCATGACGCTCTTTCCTCAACGAGCAGGCGAACTTTGGTTGTCGATATCGCTCATGCCCAACCACATCGCGAGCTTATACAGTTCATATTACCAAATGCATATACCAACATGGAACATTTGCATTACAAAAATATCAGAATTAGACAAACTCTATCATACGTCGTCGTTCGTTTGGCATCCGAGACATGCAGCTCAAACACGTTGCGGAATATATTAATGATCAACGAATATCTGCTAGTATTCAGATAGCTCCATGCGGATGGGTCTTTCAGGACAGGGGTCTGACTCCCCCCAGAAATTGAGGTTCATCAGCCACAGAGTACGAAGATCCTCCACACGACGTCGATCATTTGAGATACAATAGGTGCAACTAGTGTCCTCGAAAAGGGTAGCCAATGGGTCCAGAAAGGTGAGCCAAGATAGATACGAATCTGCCCATGTTACGGTACATTCAATCCGCACTGCCCCTAGCAGATCTTTATGATCGGATCATCGACTAAGAGCTCCCAATCGGCCGATATCAGTCTCTTCCAATGCGGCATCATAAGACAAAATCATGCGGCGTTGGAAATGTTCGGATATTCTTTTTACCTTTATGCTTCTCCGCCTGTTTCTGCCATGTTAATGTGCCTCTTTCGTTTGATAGCTGTCATTCTTACAGGAATCAAAACTGTGACAGAGCCACAAAGTTCGTTGTGGCGCTCTCTCCGTGTTCTGGACGCAAGCGGGAGAAGTCGGAGGCTATAAACGGCCCCCTGGGGGGTGGCAAACGGTGGCTGAAGCCTAAATCTCTCGAGTTGTAGCCGCAAGAAGGAACTTCTGCCAAAGAAGACGGTAATTACTTGATTGCGTGGACAATTCATGAAATGCCCGTTTACGTTGTGATCCAATCAGGAAACAAACGTGCTTCGTTGGCCCTTCTCAGACAACGTCAAAAGGCCGGCCCGCCAGCGTTGCCGCAGCACGGACGGGCTTCGACAAACTTTGCGCCAGTTGCTCTCCTGCATAAGGCTCCTCCGCAAGTAGGTCTCAGGTTCAGTCGAGGCCGGGGAATATTGATTCTTGTTTCCCTTCCTAAGGGCCCTACCAGCTTAGCGTGCTCCAGCTTTTTCCAATCAATCTGGAGATTTGGACTGGATGCTAGGAAACCTGGAGGTTAGCACTGAAGATGGAGCTCGGGGATGGAGCGCAAAAATACGGAGCTTCCTCGCCATTGTCCGCATAAGCGTGTGATACTTTGCGGCCAAGCAGCGATGCTAGCATCGTACTCCGTACCCGCAGTCGTCAACGGCGGTGCCCATTGTGGGTATGTGAATGCTCGATATCTTGGTGGTTGAGCGCCATGGCCAGCCTTTTCCCCGAATCTCCTTTTCGAAGCCCAGCTGTTCTAGAGGGCCCGGAGGAAGAATGTTCGGCTACGGCGAATCCATCGATCCACGGCGATCATAAAAAACCTCGGCCAGTTACCAAAAGCCAGCCGCCACCGCCGGTTGGATGGCAAATCGCTTTACTCAGGTCCAACACTCAGCCAACCAGCCAACCATGGCTTTCCATTCTTAGTTATTTTCAGGTCCGGCCCGCTGTAATTGGGGCCCCCCTCGCTCATCAGGATGACCAGGGGCAAAAGTAGTCAGATCTAGCGAGAGCATAAAGAAAAAAAATCAGAAAAAATTTCCACTCCCTTGTCATGCAAAGCAGAGGCTCGTATCTCCTCCCTTGGAGCCCAATGGGCGAGTAAGATATATGGAGTATGGCATGTTGACCACGTACCAGTACTCTGTACGAGTACTTGTTGCTCCGTGCGGAAACAGGGGCAGCTTGGATTGAATTTGAATCCAAGCATCGTCTAATTTCTCTGTCCAAGGCTGAACCCTACCTTTGAACAAGTCTAGGCAATAGTTGCCCGTAGCCACACGGCCCCGTTCCGTCGTCCGTCCTATCCCAAGCTTTGGCTACACACAGACGGAGAGAGCAGGGATATGGATAGAATTTTTCTTCTCTTCTCCCGCCCCAGTCCCACCTCCGGATGACCCCCAGGCCTCCGCCGCAAAGGTCAGAGGCGGGATCCTCAAAAGAAAACATTAACTCAAGAAGAAAAACCACAACTGCCAAGGCTAGGCCTCGACTCTTTGATCAGCGCTGACAGCCTCCGCTCGGTTCCAATGTTCATCCTCGTCGACGCCATGTGGCAGGCAATCAATCGACCGGCTCCCCCTCAGACCGGTTCAGAGAGAGCAATTCCGATCCAACCAATGCTTACCGGACCGACCTGGCGTCTGTGTATTCAGATTTGAATTTTGTGTCTTGCTTTCATCTGGCGGTGTACTCTGAAATGTCTTGAGACAGTGACTTTGTCCAGTGCCGTCATCTTGCGTGCCATGCTTGTAACGAGTACATCAGCCACTTGGCTCTTGCTAGCCGCTGCCTTCTTATCTGCGACATCTGTGGCACTCGCAAGGGCTTACTGGTACTACCTGTATTCGTACGTGCCAGGTAGCCATGGCTTCTTCTGCAGCTTTTCACTTGGAGCAGGGCGAGAGGACAAGGGCCGTGGCGAGCAGCTGACTCCATTCCTGGGCAAGCAACCAAAGGGCAGCGAAAAAATCCGACCTTTGACATGGTACCGCAAAATTTGTTTAAATGAGTTGAGCTTAGATTTTAGGGTGCCCTGACCGAGGTACCGGGCCCTAAGCGGGAAGTTTGACCTTGGAGATTTCGGTCAAATTTCGTGCCTGCATTCTTGTGATTTTTGTCTTGTCGCGCGTTCTCTCTCTATCTCTTGTCATTTGATGCCTTTACTTCATCCTAGCTGGTCGGTATAAGCAGGGAGGCATGCTTGTACACGTACAGTCTGGTTCAGCGGTGAAACGATGCAGATCGCCAATCGCACTCGCAGGGAGCGAGCCGAAGCTGCTTGCATGCAAGCCGGTACATGTACCTGCTAGAGACGGCTCGGCGTGCTCGAGTCAACAGCCCTTGTGCGATACTCCACCGAGCAGTAGCAGTGCACTAGCAGTAGGTAGTAGCAGCAGTACGAGTCGATGCTCATGCCTTTCTGAGCGCTTATATGGATGGTTATCAAGGGCTCTGATTGTCAAGGACTCGTCCATATCAAACGCGTGGGTTTGAATGTGCACGAGACAGATGTTCCATCTGAGTATGGCCTATCTATCAGACAGGTCCAAGTCCGGACGAGACATGACAAAACAGCCGCCGGCTTCGTCTGCGCCAACCAAGGTGGCCGGCCAATGTAAGTCTGGTTGCATCGACCGGTGGCTTCCAGTCGTGCTCGCACCTCATCGGCACGGGCATGAAGCAATTGCATGCCTGCGTGTGCAACCCATGCAGGTTACACTGTGCCTTGCCAATTTCTGGAACAGGAAACGCCTCCAGATGCCATTGCTTGATACACCGGCCAGACGGCATTTGAGTGCCCGCAGTGAGGTGAGGTGAGGTGACATGGCCATGGCGACAGCTGCTCGGGTGATGTTCTGGTTTCCTGGTGACGGGGCTGTGACGAGGTTTGCAGCTTCGCTCGTATGTGCTGTGCTGTATAATACTGCAGCCGCAATAAAGGAGCAGGTCATATGGCACTCGGGTTTCAATATCCATCCCGCGCATGCATCCAGACGAGAGAGTCCAAGTCGGTACACTACACTAGGTACTTTGGATGCATCTATATTAAGTGAGGACCGGGTCTATCGAGGACTGAGCCGCGAGATTGGTTGCTGCGCCGGACGAAGCACGACTCGCAGGTACATGTCCGGCCAGCGTCCAGTGGCGTTGCGAGCAGGTACACCCTCCAGCAGTGCCGCTGGGTCTAATCGATACAACATGCCGATGCACGCATGGATGGGCCCAGGGATTGATTAGTTTCCCTCCCATTGCTTTTTAGCACTGCAGTCCATCCATATCAATTGACTAGATTCAAGCTTGCTACGCTCAAGCCCGTCGTGTATGTACCGTACAGACACACAACACACACTCACACACTCACACACACTTTGAATCTCGTAGCAGCAGCAGTAGCAGTAGCAAGCAGCAGCAGTAGCAGTAGCCTTGAATAGGCAACAACTACCATTACCAGGGCAACATCCATACCTTGGCTGGCATGATTATGTGCCTTTGTATGCTTTCTTCGCTTGTCTTGTCTTGTCGTCAGAGCCCCGAGCCCTGACGAATCCTCTCGCGTACGGAGTACCCTCCGTCACCACAAGTACCGTCCGTCACCACAGTACCTTGGGCCGCATACCTCAACCCGCCCAGGGCGCCGTATCTGTATGTACCGTACTTGTGCCAGCACCCCCTCCAAGGCGCTTCCCCTCTCCCGTTGGCCCTCTGAAACCTGAGGCTACGAGGATGCTAAACTTCTGGTATGGCGTCTTTGTGGCTTGGGTGTGGAGGCTGCCCTTCTGGAACTTGGTGCTAGTGGCCCGCGCAACAGCCATCCGGATTCCGTGAACAGAAACTTGAGAAACTAGCACTGGTCTTGGTCTGGACTTGGACAGGCACAGTGCCGTCCAAGTACCTGTACTCGCGCTCCACCCGTTGCAGCGGCGAATCCGCACAGAGGCAAAACGCGAGAGAGAAAAAATATGACTGGTGGTGCATCCGGATGGCAGAGGAGCAGGAAGTCAAACCCGCATGAGACCGGGGTTGATAACTGTGCGTGCACCGGTACAGGTACCTGGGCCTGGGTCAACTGAGAACCCTGCTGGTCTGGTTCTTGTCTGGCTCCGGCTCTTCCACTGCAGGAGACCAGTTAGCGACCCTCCAGCGCTGCGCAGTACTGCAGGCTTCCAGGTTCTTGTTCTCAAGCCCACTGCACTAATGCTAGCAACAGCACCAGCACCATCCGGCCGGGCCTCCGTTTCCTCCATGCCTTTGCCGTCTGGTCTCCAGTCAAACCACTTCACTTATTACGCCTCCGGCTCCCCAGCTGCGATCCGCTTTCTGTTCGTTGTCTGTTGTTCTTTGCACTTTGCACGGCGTGTTTCCCCCCCCCCAATTGTGCTAGTCCCGGACTTGTTGACTCTTGCTCTCACTTTCCCTCGCTGACTCCGTCTTCTCATTATCTTTCTCCATCTCCATCTCTTCCTTTTCATTCTCCTTCTTCCCGCTCTGTCCCTGCCCGTCCTCTTGAGCCGACTCTCGTTTCACCACTGCGGCTGCTACCCTCGCTCCACCCCGGGCTCTTTAGTCGCCTCCAATTTCAACAGCTCCAGAACGCTGCGCCGGAATCCACAGCCGTTCGGCATCTCCTGTCATCAGTCACCTGGTCGAATAATTTGCCGGCACTGCCTTTGGAACTCGGGTTTTCCCTTCATCTCGTCGTCTTCTCGCCTTCTAGCATTCTTCCTCTTTCAATTGCATCCCCATTGCATTTTTTGCTGCTGCTGGTGGCCCGTTTCCTCTTTGTGCTTGGCCAGGAACAGAACCGAGCCGGGCTTTTCTAGACTGTTTTGCGTGTTTTGTGTGGGTGCGCAGGTGACCTGAAAATCGGCTCCCGCTACCGACCGAACCTACAGCGCTGACGGCATCAACCTCGCCCTCTTATTCGCCCACACTTACACCATTCGACTCCCGTCACTCAACAAACAGCCCTCGGTGGATGCTAAAGCACTCGTGCTTCTCATGGTTTTCTGATTTCATAAAGGGAGAGCTCTAGTGCTGCCCATCCGCGCACGCACACCGTTTCGTTATCCCAGAATCCAGCATGGCAGCCGTCCTTTCCAGCGAAGACAGCTACTTCTCATCCGCTCCGATGCGGCGCTCACACTCCCAATCCAACCTTGGCGGTTCATTGTCATATCACCACATGGCCGACCTCTCGAATCCCTACGCCCATCCTCCCAACAAGTCCTTCTCCGACTCTGACCACTCGTCGGCGCCTTCGTCTCCTCGAACTGCCCACATCGAATCGGCAGACGTCTCCTACACTTCCACCCCATCCAGCAACCTCTCCGTCGCCTCCGATTATGAAGACTTGGCCATAGACTCTCCCGAGGATCACTTCGGCCTGCCGCCTTTTACAGCCGACAAGCTGTATATGCCCCCGCAGATTCAACCAGATGACAATCTGGAGCCACCGCCGAGCCCTCGCACCGGTGACTCTTACACTGTCTCGCCTGCCGAGCATGACAGCTCCGTCAGCACATCACGGCCCGACAGCCCCGAACTCAGTGACCATGCCGAAGATGACACGGCTATTGCGAGCAAACCCTCTCGCCAGGTTGACTACCTCTCCCATGATTGGAGAGAAGAAGATATCTGGTCCTCGTGGAGGTACATAATATCCAAAAGAGGAGAGTTTCCCAACAGTGCCAGACTAGAGAATGCGTCTTGGAGAACTTGGATGAAGGCCAAGAACAACCTAAAAACCATCTCACCAGAGACACTCAACTGGTATGTCTCATGGAGCTATTTACATTGTTACAACATAAAATGGGGGCTAATATTCCATATCTAGGCTAAAAGATTACGACGTCACTTGGCTTTACGGCCCTCTCCAATCTGGGAAGCGCAATGTGTCTGCTAATAAGACAGGGCCCTCCAGTGTGTCATTATCAAAATCAAGTTCTCTTGTCAATTTGAACAAGAAGACCATCCTTAAGAAGAGGAGCATGTCGGAAGTCCTGCTCCAGAGATCGCTGTCGACTTCCTCGCTTCTCAAACAGGCTGCTGCAGCCGTTCACGCCCAGGAGTATCGAAGAAGTGCAATGCGTCCCAGCTTAGGGCGGGCAAACACAGACTACGTCTCGCTCTCATTTTCCTCCAGGAGGATGAGCCACGAAAACAGCAGCGCCTGGGCTACGTCTACAGAATCGTCGAGCGTTACATCGCCTTGCGCCGAGCGTAAGCACATTCACTTTAACGAGCAGGTAGAGCAGTGCATTGCCGTCGACGTCAAAGGCGATGACGACGAAGATGTTGACATGGATGTGGACATGTATGGCGACGAGAGCGACTCTGATGACGGCGTCATGATGAAGCGGGTTAGATCAAAACGACGCCCATTGGCAAAGCAGCGGGCTCAGAAGAAGGCTGCTTTTGCCGACGGCAAGATCATTGCCATGCTCCCATCTACAACCCTTAAGTACCAAGAGGACAGCCCGGATTCTCAGGACTCGGCCATGAAGCACAGCACCGGCGCTCGCAGCCCTCTGCTGTCCCCCTCGTCCTCACAGGAAACTCTGCGTCCTTCCAAGACGAATGCCGCATTCTTCTTTGATGAGGACGAAGAAGATCTGGATGCAACTATCCAGAGCCCCGGTTGGCTTTCTCCACCGTCAGACACTGGTGCCGGTGGCTTGAAGAGATCAACGTCTTCAAACAGTCTCCTCGATGAGCCAGCCGGCATGCGTCGAACTCCTTCGGGCATGTTCATGCCCTGCGACGAGGCCGAGACGTCATCTGGGGAGGGCATCTTTGGCCGGGTAATTGACACCGTCAACACCGCCCGTGACATTGCCCATGTCATTTGGAATGTTGGGTGGCGAAAGTAATCGGGGCAAACCTCGTCTCGATTCAATTGGCGGTTGGCGGAACTCTCACGATGCCACGAGCAGCAGAATGATCCAAGCGCCCAGCTGGACTTTGAGCGCCGGGCAAACAATCAATTCATTCGACCAGCGCCAACCAGCGATCCCAAATCCGGGGTACCAGTGTCGCATAACGCTGATTTGCGTTTGACAACAGCCAAATGCAGCTTTGGCCTACAAATTACATAATATCTCAGGGCCAATTGAGCCCCGAGTGGGACTTTGGACGCTTGTTTTTTGTTGAGCCGGGCGCTACGACTAAGCCTTTGGTCTTGAGTCCGGCGTCATCGGGAGGCGAAAGCACGACGAAACTGAATAGCAATCTTGTCGATGTGGACACGGAGATGTCACGAGATGCTCATTTGGTGGTCGGGTGACTTATCACCTTGGCCGCCTAATTTCCTTCACTAACCAAAAATTTTTCTGCTTCAACGAATGCCGGGGGTATCCCGGCTATACGACGGCTTATGACACAGTCTCTGTACTTTTCTGTCTTTTCTCTTTACCCTTTTCGTCTTCTTATCTGATGACACACACAAGAGTTTTTGTTTTCATCTTCTTTGCGCTTTCTCATTTTCTTGGATTACAATTATATCAAAATTCATGGGCGGCTCAAAGGGGTTTTTTTTTTTTTTTTTTTTTTGTTTTATTGCCTGAGAATGGGCGTTTTGTGTTTTGCTTGCCAAAAAAAATTGTGGTTTCTTTTTCTCATTTCCTTTTTTCTCATTGCGATAAAACATGTTGTAAAAGGGGGGACGGGGGTGGATAATTGGCTGAGATTTGGGCAAATAGGCATGGAATGGTTTTTTACGAGATGGAAAACAGGATCGAATCTGGGTCGAAGTAGAAGGATGGGTCGTTTGTACATAGGAATAAACAGCACAAGCAAACGAAATACAAGATAAATATTGAATAAAGGAGGCTTCCTTGAATAATGCAAAGTGCACAATGGCTTGGAGTACCTGATACTGCTTGGGTACTTGATGCCCGAGTACTCGTACTTCTTAGTAGGTTAGTACTGTCACTTACAGTACAGGTACCATTGAAGGGTCCTTCAAGGTGGATTATAGTCGAGCCCTTGGTAGAAGCTATGAATGGGGCTACGGATTATTAGCATTGCGTGAATCTGGAGATGAAGCCACGTAAAATCAATGCTTTTCGATGGATCCCTCCCCCCAGTTGCCCAGCCAAACGACTAGGTATGAGTACGCTTGGCGTCTTTCTCCAAGGGCGCGGAGAAGCCGGTCCATTCTTTCACCCTTGCCTTGTTAACAGGAATCAGAGAGAGCCCCAAATTTTAACAGGATCAGAGAGAGACCCCCAATTTTAACAGGATCAGAGAGAGCCCCCAATCGCAGGGGCGTAGGGAAAAGGAAAACGTCACCGCGCGTTCTGGAATGCACATCGGCCTTTTGCCAGATGAAACCAGAGTGAGCGGACGGACAAGTCAATGGGACCCCCGTGGTGAGAATCTATGGGGTTTAGAGGGCGGGCAACTAGGTGATTGGGTATAAAGGACAGTGTATGTTTCTTTTGCTTTTTTTATTTCGTCCATGGTGGCCGCGTCATCTACGCTATGGATATGCAGACGGAAAGTGTCTTTTTTTGGTCGTTTGGGATGCTATTCGTACAGAGAGAGGATGTGGTATATGGTACATGATGTGTGGGCAATAGGGGGGGCATTGAGATGATGCGCCTGTGTAGGTACATTGGGAAGTATGTGTACATGAAGTATATGCGTGCGTGCCATTTTTTTTCTTCATCAGATGCAGGCCAAGTCGCCCTACCTACGGACGATGCAGGGTGAATAGCACCGAAGAGGTGGCGACTGGGCAGCAAGAAAAATAAAACAAACAAGAAAAAAAAAAATAACCATGTGTATGTAGTCCCTCGCATGATGCAGGATGTCGGTGTTTTAGGCGCCTGAATGCGGCAGCGAAAGAAGCGTATCCAAGGCCAATCTGCTCCCAACAAAAGACCCCTGGAGGGAGAGTGGAGCCCCCTGTCAGATGTAGCCAAAAAGTCTGGGGTAATTCCATACATTTTGGTGCGGGGAGAAGGGAAAATGGCAACAGGCCAACCAGAGGCTGCCAGCGTCTATAAGGCGAAGGGGTGGTGGAGATGGGGGGAGGGGATGATGGGACCCAGAGCCAGCCAGAGGAAAGGGGGTTGCATATGCACCTGTGCGGTGCATTGGGTTGAAGACACCTTCAGGTGTGATGCGGGCTTGCATGGCATGGTTGCTGTGCTGTACAGTACACTTCGTGCTCTGTAACGGTTGACACACACAGAAGCCTGCTTTTTGGGTCTCCACTGGGCAAACCCGGTGAGGAGGGAGGTTTGTCGATAAGGTGTGTTGTCGGATGGTATGGCCGTCGTTTGGCTCAGAGATACTGGATGGTACTGTACTGGCTATCATCCAATACCATCAGAGCATGCTGCTGCAGGGCTGGCTGGGGTCGAGTGTGTGAGCGCTCACGTTAGAGCCGACGTCGATGAAACCGGCCTGGCATTAGGGCCGAGATACTTCAGGGCCTTGACGAGGATACGCCGAGAGTGTACATTGACATCCGCAAGCTCAACTTCGAACTGGTCCCCGACCCTGACATCTTTGATCAGGGCCTTCTGGTTCAGGCCCTCAATGTCCATCACCGCATGCAGATCGAAGAAATCCACCTTGCCTATGCAGCCCTGTCGCCAGCGCGAGCCGACGGTAAACCGGAGCTTGCGAGGAGCCGTCTTCTCGAAGCGCCATGCACGGACAAGGGCAATGAGGATCCACTCGAGGATGCCCCGAGAAACCGTGCGTGCCATCTTCTCGCGCACCTGCAACAGCGGTAGAGTGGTCGCAAGCTGGGCAGAAGAAAAGGGAAGGATGTCGTCTAGGTTGTCGGCGCTGGGGTCAATGGTTCGCTGGATGGCTCGCTCGTGTTGCAGGGCAGCGTGGATCTGCCAGTGGACGAGCAGGTCGGAGAAGCGGCGCAGCGGCGACGTAGCTTTGGCATACATGTCCAGGCCAAGAATAAAATATGAGCCAGGTTGACTTGATATCTCGATTCCACCGGTATGGCGAATCATTTCCTGCCGCTGGCTGCCGCTTGGTTCGATCCCTCTACGGATCAGAGGATAAATCTCCTTCGTAGCGTAGTCGAAAGCCTTCTTCTCGCCATGCCTGAACTTGATGTCCCTTCGGTAGGGGATGGGGATGCCACGAGATGAGCACCAGCGCGCCGCGATTTCGCCGGCCAGAACCATGGTGTTGGAGACGACAGAGCACCCGGTCGAGGTCTCATAACCAGCTTTGATGTAAGGATCGGCAGGCAAGCTCTTGGGTGTATCTGCCAAGTCAGCTGTATCACGAAACGATACAGAGACAGAGGGCCGCGGGAAGAAGTACGGCCACGCCCCCTTGTCGAGGCGCTTCTTCTTGATAGCTTCGGCAAGTTGATATAGCAATAACAAGTCCTCTCTGCTAGATGCATCCAAATCCTGTGGAGTAGTCATTGGGCGATTCAACCTGGGCTTTTCATTTTCTCCAGGAGTTCCGACAGTGAGGCTGTAGCTGGGGACTGGTGGTGGTGCTGGCTCGTTGCAAAATCGGGATACATCTTCCGGATCCAAGTATACGACCTTTTCAAGTCTGCTGGGCTCGACCTTGAAATCCAGCAACTCGCCAATTCTATTGACTTTAGCACTGAAAGTCAATGCTGGACTGCCTGGCTTGAGTGAAAACTGGCTGACGAGGCCGTCGGAGGCATAATCTTTGGCATCATCCTCTTCTCCCAAGTTGGAAGGAAGCATAGCTTGAAAGTGACCAGGCAGGTAAATGTTCTCCGGGATCAACTCCATGTATTTGCAGAGGTCAGAGTTTGGCTTGATACTGGAAGCAGGGTCTGCCGCGTGAACATGGAGCCAGAACTCGTCTGGATTTTCCGTGCGTTCAACTGAGATACCGTCATCAATGACAATGGTTGACACGGCATCAATGCAAAATATGGTAGATTCCTTGTGCTCTCGTCTGAAACCAGCCGCCACGTCTGGCCGCTTGGATTCTTCGATATCTTTGGGAATCTCTCGCTCCAGACCACCACCTCTAGTTATTGTGACATTCGGAAAGCGCACTTTGTAACGCGATGGAACTTCCCAAGGGGGGATGATGCCAATCTCTTGTAAAAACGTCCAAGCCGTGCTCTGGTCGAGAACAGCATCGTCGTATAGTTGAAGAGCGCGGAGGATCAAGGCGCCGTGACCATGAAACTTCGATCCAGGCTCGAACAGATCATAACTGGCCCACCATTCCAGGAACGAAATGATATCTTTGCTTGATTGGGACCATTCTGGCTGCGGCAACTGCACACCGTCTGCGGGTGTGAGGATGCCATGTGGTGTCCATTGCCGCTTCGAGCGGCTGGCCAAAACTATTTTGCGTGCCTGATTGATAAACTTGCCCAGCTGAGTCTCTTCTAGCTCATCCGGCTTGGGAGCTCTCAAGCGCCTCCCACTCGTTTCTGTGTAATCACGAACCATAGCAACAACTTTATTGATGATATTCGTATGGGATTGAGGGAAGATCTCGAACAAATGATCTCGGCGATGGCAATCGCTTGTAGGGCTGAGTGGCCGGAAACCAATCTCATTCTGATAGAGCGCCGAGTGGACCGCATAAAGGGCAAAGGGGGAAAAGCGGCCGTCTACTTTGAGAGATTCAGGGAGTAAGACGTCGGCAATCTCCCAGAGGCTGAGATAGCTGACTTGTCGTCGATTGGAAAGAAAATTGCGGACTGCATCCATTTTCTCCAGGTAGTTTTGGTGCACAGCATCTGCTTTGACTCTGAAATCCACCATCTTCTGGATAAGGTGAGCACCATCATCTCTAGATGGGCCCTTTTCGTTGCGACGAAGATCCTCAAACACTTCGGGGGAGCCGCCCTTGGGCATGGTGGCCATTACGGGTGCTAATTCCTCCTTGCTCACAAACTTGGCAACCGTGAATAAAGGCGAGTAGCCCATGCTGGTAAGCCATCTGCCGTTGACAGCATAGAAATGGTTTCTCTCTCCAAAGTATCCCAGATAGATTGCAAAGAGAGGTACTCGTGAGCCAGTTTGCCTGTTTTCGATATTAATTAGCGTGAATTTCCGAAATGTGTGTGTTGGTTTCTCACTTTAATTCGACAAGATCACCAGGCTGCCTAGAACTCACGCCAACAGCAGCAGCCTCTGGCTCGTCGGCACCCACGTCTTCTTCAAACTCGTCCGTCATTCCGGCCTGACTGGGTCGCAGTTGATCCATTTCGGATGACCCTGTTGACTGAGTTCGACTCAGATGATTTGAGACGCTTCCATATAGGATCATATCTGGAGGCATGCTATCTGAGCTGTACTGTCCGTTCTGGGCGGTCCATAATTGCAGTCGCTTGCGGATTGGCAAGTAACTGAGATCTTTATCCACCAAATTGTGAGGGGCAGATTTCGGTACGTGAGACTGTCCATATTTTACCTGTGGGTGAAGTTGACTGTTTGTGCTCTCCCAACGCTACATATTCTGTGTAAGTTATAGCTTCATGCCGGGGCCCCCCAAGATGAGACTCACACTTTGAAACCCCAGAAGAGCAGTCTTGGTGGTACCAACGGAATGAACGTTAGTCAGCCCATTTGTAGTAAAACGGCCATGACTGTGCAGCAAATATTGCCGGTAAACAGACTGACAACCCGGCCGGGGCAGCATGACGGGCATATGCTACCACATATAAAAATGCTTGACAGCGAATTTTTCCAGCCTTATCTGATCACCTATGGAGGTGTGGCGTCGAGTTGCCTGGTGGCGTAATGAAGTCACGTGCCGCTCCGACGAAGTAAAGTGTGGCTCGAGAGATCCCAGGCGCCTCTCCATGCTGCTAGCACTGATACTAGGTTGCTACAACCAGGGGTTCCTGGAGATAAATTGCAAGTATCAACCTTATCGAAGTTGTGCATGGGTTACTTGGAGTAAATTGGGCAATTAGACTTTTGATACGGAGTATTGTTCACGACGTCATGCAAACGGCGATTAATTCTCCAGAGCGGTATAGTTAATTGGGCGTCGCTACGGAGCAGTAAACGACGTTGGTTGTCAGTGCCAGGTCGAATTGACTCTACGGAGTAAACATGCAGGAATACGAGCTCCTGGACTGTCTCATATTGTATGTCCACTCAATGATACAACAAGAGAGCAGAAGAATACCTGGTACGTTGCATTCTACAGTAGCATCGCTACGAGCAGTATTTCCCACGGTACTTTTTTCTCCGTCCAAGGAAAGTAAGTTTGTTAATTGTATCTCGTTGCAGTCCCTATGCAACACTTCACTTATAAGCGCATACTTACTGGGTACGTGTCAGTAGCAGATATCAATACCTGCTATACTCACACTGCTGTAGATTTTTAGCCATTGCTGCTATATAAACGAGCCTGCAACGCCACGGGCGAAAAAAACTAGATTCTTACAGTTCTTGCAGATCCCCCGATTTTTGCAGCGCCTTTCTTTTTATTAGGCAGGGTGTGGACGTCCCTTGCACCTGCATCAAGTGCCTCAGACTAACAATGGCGCACTGCAGGGTTCGGAAAGCGCGAAGAGGAAAAAGACAAAGGAAAAAAAGGGAAGAGGGGGAGAAAGAGAGAGAAAGGTAAAAAGAGTTCGCTTAGACGAAAGTATCCAACACACAAATCTCGCGGAATTTTATCATCGTGATCATGACACAGGATTACATACATGCACTCGGCCCATTATTTTTCCCTCCTTACACATGCAGGTACGAAAACTCCGTTTTACTACGAGCACTCGTACGGGTAATCTGCACTCCCGGTCAAGCGCAGTTCCTGGGCCAAGAGATGCAGAAAGACAAATTCGACTCCCGCACCAACACCGTTAACGACTTTCCTCATCTGGGGAGGATTTTGGAAAACCAGCGGTCTGTTGCTCGTACAAGCACTAGGCACAACTCCACGGCGTGCCCGGCACTTTGACGAACCCGCGTCGCAAATTGAGGATTGCTGTGCCATGGGCTAACCCAAGCGACCCCCTTTGGATGACAGGGGTAGGAATCCATTCTGCAATACGAGAATTACCAGAATAGTAAGACTAATAGTGAGTAGGTGGCCGTGATTGGACAGCATCGGACCAGGCTTCTCGAACGCGCCCCTTTCTCGAAATGAGCAGTTTTCGCACCACAGCGGTCAAGCCAAAGGTGCACACTGCCTTGGGAATCAATGCGGACCAAGCTCA